GGGTCAAAGAAGGATGAAGACATATCAAAAAGATGTCTGAAAAAACAGAAACCAGTCTGAAGGGGCTCCCAGTGTCTAAATATGAGACAATTTGAGCTTCAATAATAATAATAGTCTTAATATTGGTAGTGGATTATAACATGCCCTTAAAAATAGTGCATAATGATACTTTTAAAAAGAAGGGCAAAGGGGAAAGCATTTTCTTAACAGATGAAATACTAACAAATGTAAAAGAATGATAGAAAGTCATCACTTGGCAAACATTAATGTAATAACTGACTTGGAAAATGCCCACGAATGAAATCTAAAACCATTTTGTAAGTCTTGAGGAACAGAATGCTCTTAGATTCTCTTAGTCCATCCAACAGCTTCCAAATTAATAACAAGGGAAAAGGTACCTCGACACCAGAGTGATCTGATGGACATCAAGTGAATCAGTATCATCAATGTGTGCCTCTGAGGTGAGGCTATGGGAAATTCATACTATCAAATTTAACCTGAATCTAATCATAAGGGACAGTCAAAGGCAGACTGTGAGACATCTACAAGTCAACTAGCCAGGACATTTCAAGAAAGGTTAAATGTCATAAAAGCCCCCCCAAACCCCTAACCCAAAAAATGGCAAAAGGACCCTTTTAGATTAAAGGACTAAAGAGCAAACAAACCAAATGCCATATATGATCTGTCTGGATCCTGGGTTTAAAAAAAGAAGTTCTAAAGAAGAGTTTAGGGAACATGGAAAATTAAACTACAGATTCTACATTAGAAAAATATCGACATTAATACTGATGTTAAATTTCTTGAGTGTAGTAAGGTCACTGCAATTAGACAGTGGAACAGCCTTGGTCCTAGGCATAGTAAAGGACCATAGTGTCATCCACTTTCTTTCAAATGGTCTGGGAGTACACATGCCCAGAGCAAACACGGTGGGTGGGCCAGGTGAGGGGTGTTATATGTCTTTTTCTACTTCTTTCAAGTTTTCTGTAGGTCTGAAAATTTACAGAATAAAAAGTTGGAGGAAAAATGAAAATTTTAAATGTAAACAGCTATAAAAAGTAACAAGGCACCCAGAATAAAAAAAAAAACAAACAGAACTATGTGTGGGCAAGAGAATGTAAAAGATGAAAAAAAACCCAAAACATTCGTATTTGTTTTCCAGTGTCTAAGTCCTTGCTCAACTTTAAATAAACTGATCTTGCTCAGCTGGTGTAGCTCAGTGGTTGAACGTCCACCCATGAACCAGGAGGACATGGCTGGATTCCGGGTAAGGGAACATGCCAGCTCAATCCCCAGTAGCGGGCATGCAGGAGGCAGCTGATGGATGATTCTCTCCCTCTCCCTTCCACTCTCTGAAATCAATAAAAACAAGTTTAAGCAAACAAACAAACTGATATTTGAAAATGTTAAGTCTGCAAAGATAAGGCCACAGTATACTTATCCTTAAGAAAAGGTCTTAGGCCTCAATTAAAAGGCTGGCAAATGAATGTATTTTTGTGTTTTAAGTTAAAATAAAAGCATGTGTCTGTTTTTTCATGATTCCTGTTATAATCAATGTATTCAAGCTTTGAATACATACATACCTGTACGAAATATACTACTGCTATTTACTGGCTGCTGTAGGGTCAAAACCGCTTGGAGAGACATTTCCCAAAGGATACAAAGTATGCCAAGTGCTCACACACAGCGTGTACTGAAAGGTAGCTATGACTAGAGCAGTGGTTCTCAACCTTCCTAATGCCGCGACCCTTTAATACAGTTCCTCATGTTGTGGTGACCCCCAATTTCATTGTTACAGATTGAACATAATTAAAGCATAGTGATTAATCACAAAAACAATTATGTAATTATATATGTGTTTTCCGATGGTCTTAGGAGACGACCCCTGTGAAAGGGTCGTTCGACCCCCCCCACCCAGGGGTCGCGACCCACAGGTTGAGAACCTCTGGACTAGAGGTTCGCAGTATGGACTCCTTGTTACCTCCACCTCCTGCTTCCACCGCCGTCTCTCCGAAAACAAAACCTCTAGGTCAGGCCTCTGGGTCAGGCCTTCTTCCCTGGCTACACAGGGGCTGAACCCCGCCTCCTTCGCGTGGCTAACGGGCCCTTCAGCATCCCCTATGACTAGGGACCGCTCTCCATACACGCGGACGTCCCTAAACTGAGAGCAGCGACCATCGGCGAATCCCTGGGTCGCCAAGAAACACGGCGGCGCGTCTGCTTCAATCATCCTTGCTTCCCGTTTGGGGGGCCAAATGCTCGGGTGCTGTCAGCCAAGAGACTCAGCCGGACGGGAAGTGTCCATCCAGACCCCAGCCAGCCACGAGCCGGCTGCCCGTCCACCCGACCCCAAAGCCTGGCAGCCAAAGGAAAGAGGCGAACACCCTGCGGACCGCGCGCCGCCACGGAACAGCGTTACCTGCTGCAGGTACTGGTTGATAGTGATGTGCGCCATGGTGGCTCCCACCCCGCCGGGACCAGACGGAGCGTGCGCGCAAGGCCGCGCGTCACTTCCGGCTCGGTCCGTTCCCAGCCCGGCTCCCCAGACCCAACTTTCCCCGCACGTTGGTTCCGGAGGCAGTGTTCGTGGGAGCGCGAGCCCGGGACCGGCGTGGCGATGTGCCCGGGCTGAGGAAGGCTGGGCTTCTCTCTGCTGCAAGGCCCCCAACTACCCCTGGACGGGGACGCCTGGTCCGCGCCCCCTGGGTGCTCCGTCCAGCCCAGGGCGCGCCGGTACCCCGGGCCTGATAGGACTTTTGCTCCCCCGCCCCCGTGACTGTTGCAAGTTCCACACGGACCCCGGCGGACGCGGACTGGCCGCGATCGCGAGCCCAGGGTCGGTGGCCAGGTCGCGGCCGGGGCGGGAGCGGAGCGGGGCCGGGCCTGGCGGAGGCCGTGCGGCGGTTGGGCCGGGCCGGGGCGGCGCTGACGGGGCCGGGAGTTGCCGAAGGGAGCGTAGGAGGGAGGCCCTGCCGCGCGGCTCGGGGAGGAGGCGGAGAAGACGGCCGGACGGGGCGGGGCGCCCACTGCTTCCCGGCCGCAGCCATGGCCGACGAGACCCCCAGGAAGGGCAACTTCTCGGCGCTCGTGGGGCACACCAATGGCCTCACCAAGCCAGCGTCCCTGGCCGCGGCCGCCGTCTCCTCCAAGCCAGGGGGCGGCGGCGGCTCCAAGAAACTTGTGATCAAGAATTTCCGAGGTGGGTACCGGGAGCGGCCTACGGAGGGGGAACCTGGTGGGTCGGGAGGGAGTTGGAAGGTGGCGGCCACGGAGAGGAATTCGGGGGGCCGGGATGGAGCGGGGGGCGGCTCCGGGAGCTGGAGGCGTGGGGCCAAGTGGCCTTAAGGCGCCCGTGGCGGCGCCGGGCGGAGGGAGTGTGTTCGCGGGACCCCCCAGCTGTTCGTCAGTCTCCCCGGTTGGCGGTCTTCGGGGCCGGCCCGGGGCCCTCGGCGAGGGTGCGGGTCCCGGTCCTCCCGGCGAGGGCGCGGGCCTGGGCCTCCCCAACTGCCGGCTGGACCTGCGGCGCGGGCTGTGGGCCGAGCTTCCTGGGAGCCGCCTCCCAGATGGAATAAATGAGGCCAAATAACCCAGCTCTCGATTCGCATGGCCGAGCGAGAACGAGGAGCAGCCGCTGGAGCCCTTCGGGATGTAATTCTCATTACTTCCTCGGCTTTGCACCGGCCCTGTCACTGGTCCTCTCTCAAAGCCTGCGTCTTGGGTGCAGATGTCGTCATTCTAAGCTTCGTCTTCGCTTCCCAACTTTGAGTACTTGAAAGCAACTTTACGTGTTGTGCAGAGTTTAACTCTTACACGTGTCTACATGTATAAAGTCAACTTAAGTAAAAGGGAGACTTGCATCCAGGGACGGGCAAAAGTAGGGTCACAGATAAATAACACAATAACAAATACAATAGTTGATAATTAGTCATACAAGAATCGGTTGTTTTTTGCGTACTCACAACCGGAAACCTACTTTGCCCACCTTGTGTTTTCTGTGTATTTACCCTAAGTATTAATATGAAGTGTATTTAGCAAAACGAATGTACTGTGGTTGCAGAGTCTGTAATGTAACACATTTATAAATACAATACTTTGTATGAGAAAAAAGCTAATTTCTGTGTTTCTTAAAGTACGTTTTTGTAGACCATTTTTGGAAAGATGTATGACTGTTAGCATGGATTTCATTCACCACTGACTATCTGGATTTACAGACAGACCCAAGTTGCCTGATAACTACACTCAGGACACCTGGCAGAAGCTTCATGAGGCAGTGAAAGCCATACAAGGTAGTACCTCCATCAGATACAACCTGGAAGAGCTCTACCAGGTAAGGCTCCACCAGAGACAACAAAGCTGAGCTTATTAGAGTCCTGGAATTTTCTAGATGGGGAGAACTGTAAGACATGATGATGCCAGCCTCCTGTCTTTCACTTACCTGGTGTTTATAGTTGTCTAAACAAACACAGCTACCCAACTCCAGTGAAATGTGATGCAGATTTGGATTGCGTGGTCCTGGTATTGTTTCTGAGTCAACAGTGAAGGAAATAATAGAAATGCATTATTTACCTCCAACAAGAACAGTAGAAATCCTATGACAGCATGTCCCAGATCAATGAGTGTTCTCATTTTTTGGTGGTGGTGAGATTTTTTATTTTATTTTCAGGCTTAAGCTCCTAGAAAGATATTTAAAGTTATCCCATTACAGGAGAGAGATGTGTTTCTAAGAGCCACGTGACTTAACATTTTCCAAATATGCAGCAAATTAATGTTATAATTCTATTATGTTATATAGAAGACTCTTATTATAGCTTCACTTGTTAATAGATTTTTCCCCCTACTTCATTGTGTTTTGTGATTACTTGCTGATATTAAAACATGCAAATAAATTTTGTTACATTTTAAAGTAATGCTGTTCTATTTCTAACATAAGAAAAATGATGAAAAGTAATTTTACTATTTGGATATTCTATTTACAAGTAGGCTGGTTTTTCTGATACTGTATCTTGTTTTTAAAGAATAACATTTGTTAAGTAGTCTAATATCTACATTTTGGGTAGCAATATGATATCACAATTCCTATTAAGAGGCATGAATTTTAAAAGTTTTTGTTTACACAACTGATTATAAAAAAATAAGAAAACCACAAAAAAGTGCCAAGAAGAAAATTAAAGCTACCCATGTTCCCGCCACCCAAAGATTACTTTTGACAGTTTGATGGTCCCTTCTTTGTCTTAAATTTGTGTGAGATTGTTATATGCTTTAGTTAACTTTTTAAATGTATATTTTCATATACTATGTACTTCAATGAGTGTTAACAAATATATACAATTGTATAACCACCACCACAATCACAAGATAGACAATTTCCATCCCTCCAAAAAGTTTCCTGAGGCCCCTTTGCATTCAGTCCTCTTCCCTGATTTCCAGTCCTTGGCAATCACTGATTTGCTTTCTGTCCGTATATTTTGCCATTTCTAGAATCTCATGTAACTGGAACCATGAATTTCGCAATCTTTTATACCTGGCTTCTTTCACTTAGGATGATGCGGGTGAGATTCATGGATACTGTGGCAGTAAATTGTTTCTTTGTTGCTGTGTGGTAGGGATACCACAAAGATTACCCTTTCACCAACTAATGCTCATTTGGGTTTCCAATTTTTGGTTATTATGAATAAAGCTGTTGTGAACATTAACGAATAAGTTGTTGTGTGAACATATTCTCATTCCCCTTGGGTAAATATCTATAAGTAAGTTGTCAGAGTAATGTGGAAAGTGTATATATAACTTTATAAGACATTTCCTATTTTTCAAAATGGCTATAGCATTTTGCATATCTTAGCAGCAGTGTATGAGAGTTCAAGTTGTTCCACATCCTTGCCAACATTTGGTATTGTCTGTCTTTTCCATTTTAGCTATTCCAGTGGGTATGTAGTACAATTTCATCGTGATTTAAATTTGTATTTCCCTAGTGATACTAAACATCTTTTTAGGTGACCATTCGCATTCTCTATACCTTCTTTAAATAAAGTTTGTGTTCAGATCTTTTGCTCATATTTTATGGGGTTGCTTATTTTGTATGAGTTTGTTATATGTTCTGTTTGAGTTTATTATGTATTCTGGGTACAAGTCCTATACTGGATATTTGCCTTGCAAATAGTGCAGCTTGTCCTTTTTTTTTGTACAAGTCTATAATACATCATCTGTATATTGCATTGCGTGTTTACCACTCAAAGTCAAATATCCTTCTGTCACCATATATTTGACCCCCTTTACCATTCACTACCCTTCTGCTCCCCCCACACACAACTTTTCCTTTGATTTTCTCAATTATGTCTTTCAGAAAACAAGTTTTAAATTTTGAAGAAGTCTATGTATTAGTTTGGTCTTTTATGGATTGTGCTTTTAGTATCGATCTTAGAAACTTTGCCTAAACTAAGATCATAAAGATTTTATCTTGTATTTCCTTCTAGACATTTTAGGAATTTAGGTTTTACATTTAGGTCTATAATCTGTTTTGGGTGAGTTTTTGTATGTGTTGTGAGTTATAAATCTAAATTAAATGTCTTCCCTGTTCAGGGGTGGGGAATGTCCAACCCGAGGGCCATGTAAGGCCCACAAAATAATTTGGTCTGGCCCTCCCAAGGCATTAGGGGTAAGTTAATGAAATATTTGACCAAATATAGCAGGCTAATTTTTAAGTTGAGAATTTTGTATGGCCTGAGAATGATGTTATAAATATCCAAATGGCTCTTGGCAAAAAAAAGGTTCCCCACCCCTGCTATTGAAGAGTCCTTTCCCCCATTGAACTGCCTTTGCTCCTTTGTCAAAAATCATTGTCGATGTATGTTTGGGTATAATGAGTCTCAAAATTAGGAACGTTGGCCCTCCAAATTTATCCTTTTTCAAAGTTGTTTTGATTATTCCAGGTCTCTTGTATTTCCATATGAATTTTAGAATCTGTTCATCAATTTCTACCATAAAGCCTACTAGAATTTTGATTGGGTATATGTCGATTTATAGATATGCGTGGGAAGAATTGATTCTGATGTCTTGACAATGTGGAGTCTGCCAATTGGTCACAACGGACAGCTCTCTATTTAGGTCTTCCTTAATTGCAGCAATGTTTTCTAGTTGCAGTGTACAGGTCTTGTATATCTTACGTGAAATTGATTCCTTATTTTATGTATTTAATGTGTTATAAATGGTGGCATGATTTCAATTTCTGGTTCTTACTAGTATGTAGAAATACAAATGATTTTTATATATTGATCTTGTATACTGCTATCTTGCTAACCCTACTTATAGCTAGTAATTTTTTGTAGATCTCATCAGATTTTTTACATAGACAATCATGTCATCTGTAAATAGAGATAGTTTTACTTCTTCCTAATCTGCGTACCTTTTATTTCCTTTTCTTGCCTCATGGCACCATTTAGAACCTCTAGTATGGTTAAGAGAATTGGAAAAAAGCAGACATCCCTGTCTTGTTCCTGATCTTAGGAGGAAAGTGTTCAGTCTTTCATCAGTGAGTATGTTAACTGTGGGTTTTTTTAAAATAGCCATTGTTAGGTTGAAGAAGGTCCTTTCTATTCCTAGTTTGCTGAGAATTTTTATCAGAAATACATGTTGGAGATTGACAAATTCTGCAACTATTGAGGTGTTCAGATAATTTTTGTTGGGTTTTTTTTTCATTTATTACGTTATTGATTTTTTTAAATTTAAATCTTTATTGTTTAAAGTATTACATGAGTCTCCTTGATTGACCTCTCCCCAGCCACTCCCACCCCCCAGCACATGCCCTCGCCTCCCTACTGTGTCCATTGGTTATGCTCATATACATTATTGATTTTTCAAATGTTAAACCAATCTTGTATTCCTGGGATAAATCCTACTTGGTCACGAGGTATTATCATTTTCATGTATTGTTGGATTCAGTTTGCTAACATTTTGTTAATTTTTGCATCTGTGATACCAAAGGATATTGGTGTGTTGTTTTCTATTCTTATAATGTCTTTAGTTTTGATATCAGAGTAATGCTGGCCTCATAAATGAGTTGGAAATGGTCCCTCCTTTTGATTTTCTAGAATAATTTTATAGAATTGGAGTTATTTCTTCCTTCAATATTTGAGAGAATTTCCCAGTGAAGCCATCTTGGCTTTCTTTGTGGAAAGATTTTAAACTACAAATTTCTTCAGTAGATAATAGAACTACTCAGGTTATCCATTTCTTCAAGTTCATTAAGCTTCTTGCAGTGTCTAATCTGCTATTAATATCATTTGGTGTAATTTTCAAGTCATGAGTTGTTTTACTCTTTAGGTGTTCAATTTGAGTCATTATAGTATCTTTTCTGTCTCTACTTAACTTTTGAACACATAGAATATAATTGTAATACCTGTTTTATAGAATTCCTGGCCTGCAATTCTGTCATCTCTGTCAATTCTGGTTGCTTTTGACGGATTGAATTTCTCCCCTATAAGGGTTGTATTTTCCTTTGCATGTCTGATCATCTTTGATTGGGTATCTGACATTGTGAATTTTGACTCCTGTGGTATTTTTGTATTCCTATAAATGTTTTCCAGCTTTGTTCCAAACATAAATTATTGGAAACTGTTAGATCTTTTAAAGTCTTGCTTTTAAGATTTGTTAGGTAAGACTAGAGCAGTATTTTGTCTAGGGCGAACTGCCCCTACTACTGAGGCAAAACCTTCCTGAATATACCCACTGTCCTGTGGTTTTCTAATCTGGCTAATGGGAAGGTGCCATTCCAGGCCCTGTGTGAGCACCAGACACTATTGTCTAAACTTTTTTGGTGGTTCTTTCTCTGGCCTCAGCTATTTTCCTCACACATTTGTGCTTGTCAGTGCTCTGCTGAATACCCTTGAGGTCTCTTTGCACATATCCAAGCTCCACTCTGGCTGCATCTCTCCCCTCTGGGCTTCGTCTTGCTGACTTGATCCTCAGCTCAGGGCACCTGCTCCGCAGCCTGGAAACTCTAGATCAGTGGTTCTCAACCTTCCTAATGCCGAGACCCTTTAATACAGTTCCTCATGTTGTGGTGACCCCCAATTTCATTGTTACAAATTGAACATAATTAAAGCATAGTGATTAATCACAAAAATAATATGTAATTATATATCTGTTTTCCGATGGTCTTAGGCGACCCCTGTGAAAGGGTCGTTCAACCCCCCAAAGGGGTCATGACCCACAGGTTGAGAACTGCTGCACTAGATGCAGAAAGCAAGAGAGCAGTTGGGGTTTGTTTGTTTCCCGTCTTCCAGAGTTCACTGTCTTTCATAGCCCAATGTGCACTGCTTTGAAAAATTGCTG